ACACAAGCCACATGTACATTGTTCTTTACGTTCAGCTGTTACATCGCAAATAATGATATCACAAATAATGGTCATAGCTGGCTAAAATAAGATAAAATTTGAAAACAGCCTCTACAATTATAAGAACTTAACAACACAAGACTTCCATATAAATAGAAAGGGACAAAAACTCTCACACCTGTATGGCATCAACAGAACATCAAGAAGAAAATCCTTTAAGATCTGAGACACCACTGACTTCTCCGTAAATTGAAACATCTTTTGTCTTCCCTCTATGGAATCTGGAACTTTTAAATGACCTAAGACTGGTAAAACCAGCTGCAGGAGGCTAAATTTAAAAAATATATGCCAAGCTAGACTTGCTTTCCATTTGTCTCTGGCTCTCACTTTTAGCTGTCTACAAGTGGCAAGCTACCAACATCTATACAATATTTTAAGAAGTAGTCAAAGCGACTATGAATAGATAATTTAACATTTCAACCCTAAGAGTAACCAGCATCTAATTTCCCCCAACAGTAATGCTACTGCATCATTACTTAAGATAATGAGAATAAAGGAAATGATCACTAAACTAAGAAGCTTTGACTGTTAAACAAATTATTCTTGCTAGTACCAAGGAAATTTATAGAAAAGAGAATGGAGAATATGGATCAAACTCAGTCTGGTGTGAGGGAGAAAAGGGTTATGAGACTGAACCATTACTTCATCACTACCTGTAGTAAGAGAGAACTGTAACTGTTTGACATTTTAAACCAAAATATGTTAATCACTCACCAATCTTGCTGAGGTTGCGGTTTATCTTGAATACACTTCATCAGCTGTGGAGCCAATTCTGCTTGTTTTGCAAGAGTGAGTCGTGGATAACCCATTCTTAGATATATCATGTCAAAATTCTTAAAACAAAAAAGATAGGAAAAGAAAGAAAATCTAAGGTTTTGCACAGGTAGCAATTCAATTAAAATTTTTTTTTTTACTTATTCCATCTTATTTTTTTCTCAGTTTGTGAACAGGCGGTATTCTACAAATCCTGCAATCTGATTGGTTCCAAGAGTGGGCAGTATTCTTCCCATCTGGCCCGCTCACAGCAGGCAGTATCCGAAAAAATATTTTGAAGCTTTCTTGGAAGCCTTTTTAAATCACCTTTTAATATCATTACATAAATAAATATGTTTTGATGAAACCTCTATCTTTCACTTGCATTGCCCTTGTTTTCTCTACCATCTACTCGCTTATAAATTGTTCCGTTTATGGAGAATCTTGCCGTAATTACAGCCCTTTATCATTCAGGTTCTTTTTGCAACCATTTGTTAGGTTTTAGAAAAAAATAAAAATGTCATTCACCAGCCAAGGTTGATCCGCATTGGGAAAAACTGTGCCCTCTGTCTTGCATCCAAGACCCCAGGCACAGTTTTTCCCAAAAACCTCCCATCTGGTGAAATTATGCTTTTGGATGATTCAAATTATCATACACAAAAAAACTTCACAAGAGCCTAAACACACTTGGAAGTTACAAATATAAATTATTACTTACAATAACAAAGGCTGGTACTGTTTTATCCTGAAATCAATATGGACAATTAAATTGAAGTAAAACTTTTCAGCACAAGTAATTATTGACAGCTGAAAGTATCATCAGCTACCATAAAACCAGAAGTGTTAATGATCATTAATGTACTGTGTATTAAATGTTGAATTAAAAAAACAATCATGTACACTAGTTACAGAGTTTCACAAAAAAACTAATTAAGTTTCATAAAGAAAACTATGAAGAATAAAAGCAAGAACAAAACATTTAAAAAAGACAAAATTTTGCTCACACAAAGACTTTGGCAATAAGTGAGTCAGATTGTACATTAAGACTCAGATCGTTAATCAAGAACATTTCATTGATAAGACAGTCAAAGTTGTTCTTGGATTTCTTTAAGACCATAGAATTCTTGGAAAGATTCTTTGGAGCCAAGCCACGCTTTTCACAGAACTGTTTTCCATTCAAGGTGGTGTTCTTGTATTCCTCTACATGTTGATGTAAGTACCAACATGTAGAAGTTGTGTGATGTAGAATATATCAGTTTCAGCACCCAGTAATAACACTTTTTCAAAAATTTCTGCCATTGGATTAGCTTACACATGATAGCCTTTGGAAACAAAATGAGAGTAAATGTGTATGCAACTCACTTGATATTGTGACAGCAGAGAATCTACAGGGAGCTGGATTTGCGGTCGGCTCTTCAAACGCTTGTTGAGATGAGTCAATATGGTCATTACCTGCAGAGTGAAACGTTACAAATTCCTCACATTATTCTCCTCCTAACCCCTCACTAACTCATATTTGTTGATAAGGAGTTAATTAAAAGAGTTGTTGCCTGTTTATTAGGGACTCATAATTCCTTTGTGATGTTTGTAAAAGAATCATTTCAATATGCATGTCTGCTGTTGTTATTAATTAAGAATATTGATCCTGGTTTGATTTAAAGGATAAGGCAGATCTTTGAGGGTAAATTGTTTTTTATTTTTTTCATTTTTTATTTATTTATATACATAATTTTTTTCATGTCAAACTAAGCATAATCATTCCATTTTTTTTTCTTTTTTCAGTAGTTCATGTTTTCAGTGTTCATTACAACTTCATGTTGATTTAAGTGTGTCATTGAGAAATGGGTGTTACTGCTGGATTTTGTGCATAGAAGGCTTGATTTATTCCTTTGGGTATTCACTTCGGAGTGGGGGGGGGGGGCATGTAGAACCGCTGGAAGCGTAATGACTAAGTTCGGGATTTATTCATTCTGGAAAAGGTGAGATCTTTTAGAGGAAGACTCAAAGGAATGAAATAATAGCACAATTAAGCAACTTCCAGCGGCAGCATCTATAAGTAGATGTATATCCTTTTTGTTTTGACTTGTCAATGAACTCCAAAGAATGATTGAAAACATTTTATCCCTTCAAGTTTTTCCCCTCTATGTTCTCAAGTTTGATTTGTATTTATTAAAACAGAGCATTTTCAGAGCTTTAAAAAGAGACCTTGAATGTGTATATTTGATTATTGTAAGCCAAATTTGTATTTTACTTCCTGTTATTGGTGTTTTAATTTATGCACACCCATCTTTTACCAGCGTGTGTGAAGCATGTTTGCAAGTCATGTATTCATAAACATTCAGATAAGTACATGCTAGATCACAATCGAAATTTACAAGAGTCCAATCTAAGAAAATATATAGCTTTGAGTCTGACAGCTCCTAACACCTGTCTACAAATCTGAAATTCATTAGAAGCCTTTGAAAGCCTTTATTGATGGAGGAAGTGTCTGTGGGATGGGTGTGCTCATGAGCTGTTTTTGTCAATGAACTCCAAACTTCTGTTGTTTACATTTAAGCTATTGTTTCCAGTTGAAAGAGAAAAGAGAAATTCTTCAGTAAATAAACTTGGATCATTTGGAAAGAAAACCAATTGAAGAATTTTGTTTTAGAACACTCATCCAACAGAATATGATACAGAGAGCATGTGGAAGAAATGGACAGGACTTTTAACATAGTTCACGGAAAACACAAATGGCAAATTTTGCCTATTTTTCTTCTTATCCAATAGATCCAACAGAGAAATACACAAATATCTTCTAATCACAATAAATGCATATATTTTCACATTACTGCCCTTACAGATGAAAGGCAGATGACAAAGTTCAATTCTTGCCATTTGCCGCTCACATACACATATGTCTTATTATAGAGGTAAAACACCTTTCTGTGGTTAAGAAATTAAAAGCAAAATTTTCGGAATGGAAGCTATAGTTCGTTTTGGATGATAAACAAAAGAAAATTGTCACACGTCATCAAAGGGCATTCCGATTTCTATAGCAGTCTTACATTTACGAGTGAAATCTGACGAGAACCCCACTGATTCAGAATGACTACTTCACGATCCAAGAAACGTGGGTACACACTTAAATCGACGTGAAGTTGTAATGTGACATAACTTGACATGTGGTCGCTCAAAGGCGTAAATTGTTGGGAAAACGTTGGAGGCAAAAATAGCCTTCTTCTTTTTTACGCAAATGTGCCTTCTTTGAACAAATTAATAGGGTATGTAAACTTTACGGATTGCCTTGAAATGTGGTCCAAAGACTCACAAGATACCATACCGTGTGGGATAATTCCGTTTTTAAAAATGGATGAAAAACATTGCTTAAAATTAATATAACTGATAATTTATAGCCCTTCTTTTAATTATAGAGATACTTTTAAAAATGATAAGTTAAAAAATGTACCTTCCTGGCGTGAGCATATGCATTAATCAAGCTAAGTTAAAATTATAGTAATGTGGAACTTTCAGTTTTGAGGTTTCGGCGTTTTCGAATTAAGAAGATAGAACGAGGAAGTTGTCATTAAATGTAACAGAATTACTTCTTTCTCGCTTACACACCTTATTCTTGACTTCTTGATGGGGACTAGAAACCTTTAGAAGAAGCGGGCACAAAAATGTTTTCACTGTCTTCTCCAGCTGGTCATCGGATTCGGCCGAAGCAACACGTAGAAATACTCTTTCGAGAAGTTCTTACAAAATGAGGACAATTCAATTCATTTCAATATTGCTCTAACTTAATAAAACCGCTAGAAGAAGAGGAAAACAGACGATGTAAACTTACCAAGCTCATCTTTACCGCTTGCTGGGGTCGCCATCTTGGATTATTTTAGAAGCTGACGATGAGGTTAACGCTGACTCACAATGATTGCGTGAAGAACTTCATCCGGGTTTTCCAAAGTGTGAAGGCAGGTTCAAAGCAGATTACTTCAAATAACTTATCTTACAGCCGACAAACGACTTTTTGCTTCAGTCAATTTCTTTTGAGTACTTCTTTTGTTCTGTAAATTCAAAATACAGATATAGAGGGGGCGAAAATACATTGTTTGTGAAAGTTCTTAAAGGTAACGCAACAATAAAGTTGACAGTCACGGACACGAAATCGTCATGTGATTATTTCAAAACATCACTGGAATCAAGTGAAAATCAGTGTGTAGTTGTATATTTGGACGCTTTGCAAATCTTCTTAAGATCCTCTTCGTTGATTTAAAGCTTGACCTCCTCCTGTAAAGAAAACGTGACAATTAATTGTTATTATGACCTCTCCAACCAGAGAAATTTCCCGGAAATCGTCTGTTGCGCGTTCGTACTCAAGTGAACTGGGCACTGTTCTGGAGGAAGAGGCGGATGACGAAACGGACCAAACTTCTGCGATAAATCGTTCGATTAATGAGCAGCAGGCCCAAAACGACACTTCCTCTAGTTTTGACGGGAGCGAAGCCATGGCAAGCTTGCAATCGAGTCCAAGTCAACGAGAAATCATGAAGACGAAGATCAAATATCACTACATGAATCCTATTCAAAAATTTCGGGCCAGACGGAGAAAGCCATGGAAGTTGGTCGTTCAGATCGTGAAAGTCTTGCTTGTTACCATCCAGGTAAGATTCAGTGGGTGAAATTATTGTACAGAGCAAACTTTCTGCGTTTTTATCCATAAATATAAGTGGCTACGCCTCATTATTGGGAAACGAGTGGAGGACGGGCCTTGGCATTGCCAGTTTCTACAACACTGCAAGTGTCAAGTGAATCATAACAGTTAAGAAATATGTCCAAAAATTATCGCCCATTACCCGCTTTCAGCCGAAGAACAAAATGAAAATACAAAGAAGAGTCGTTGGTACGCGTTGTTGCATTATTTGACAGAGATACTATAAAAGCCTGTTTTACCGATACAATCTATACTGTGAACGCGAAGTGAAGTAAAATATTTTGTTGTCTTATCGTGAATCTCGGACAGAGAAAAAGGTGAATGCCTGTGTGGAATTGAATTTCTGATCCTCAGATTTCGCGGCTAACTGTAATTTGCGAAACGAAACGAAACGAAATAAAAATCTGTAATTTGCGAAATGGAAGTATGCTAATGATTCGCAAAGTAGAAATTTCTATTGTGCAAATCATAAGCATAATTCTATTTCGCAAATTACGGATTTCTGTTTTGCAAATCATTAGCATATTTTCATTTAGCAAAATCTGGAATTTTATTCCGAGACTCAAGAAAATAAAAGAGCTCGAGTCAGTTACATTTTCCCAGCAAACATGATATTTCATCTAGAAACATGCTGCGACACTTTCCATGTGCAGTTACGGTTAAGTAAGTGTCGTGTCACGCATTCGAATCATTCATCGACAACGCGCATTGACTGCACCTTATAGACAGTAAAGCTACAGCGTCAAATAACATTTCAAATTACTTTTGCGCTCTGTGGCCTAAACGACGCATTTGAGTTATTCACGAACGTAGTGGAGATTTCGCAAAGTTCATCACGTAGATTTTGCAAATCATTAGCATATTCCATTTCGCAAATTACAGATTTTCGTTTCGTTTCGTTTCGTTTGGCAAATTACAGTGATCCGCTTTCGCAACATAAAGCCCCACCACTGAGTTGTATAGTACCCCACGGCGAAGTAGGCCATTATTTGTGAGTAAAAGTGTTAGTTTCTAAGGAAGCTGTGATTCTGCATCGCTGGGGGTATTACAAGAATTGAAGATTATCAACGGAGTTCCTAAAATTGACATTTCTAGCATTAGCCCTTCATTGGAGCTAAAAATGTCAGCTTTAGGCACTCTCTACGGTGGCCCATTGCATCATCAACTCAGTTGATTAAAATATTATAAATTCACATTAATTAATTAATTACCTGATGATTCATTTGCAATTATAACACACTGGCTGCATACTACTAAGATCAACAAATTCCTCTGTGTGCCTGGGACTTGAAATGATGCTAATTTTAGATTCCCTTGTAATTCCAAAAGAAACATATAAATTAAAAGTGAAACCTCTTTCTTTCTATGGTAAATTTTTAAGTTTGAATGATGGAGGAAAATGAAATTTTTATTTTGAAAATAAAGAAAATTCATTTGTGGAAGCATGCAACCAAAAGAGTAACAAATTGAGTGAAAAAATGAATTATTCTCAAGAAATGTCCACAATACTCATAAACATATTCAAACTGGTAGAGCAATCCTTTAACCTGTTTAATTTGAGGTGATCTCTAGGCAGTATTGATAGGTATTGCAGGTGGCGAATTTCCCAGTTTTCCACCAGATGTAAGTTTGATTAAGATTTGTTTGTGCATAATACATGGACTTTGCATATTTGATTACAGATATGTTTATTTGGACTGGATCGTTTTTCTTTGGTTACATTCCTGGAGCATAACCACATTGCTTTGCGACACCTGTTTCTAAAAAACTATCAGGGAAAACAGCAAGATGTTATTGTGTACACAAGGAAAGAACTTTATGATTATCTTCACTACGCTCATGAACAGGTATACATTTTGTAACATCAGTTAAACATAAGTACTTTTCTAATAAAAATCTTTGGTACTGTGTTAGGTGGTATTACAAGAGAATTTGGTTTTACCAACTGAGTTGATTAATTAAAATTGGCTACCGCAGAGAGTTTCTATTAAGCTGATGTTTCAAGCCTCAGCCCATCAGCCTTCACTCTGGCAAAGGGCTAAGGATTGAAATGTCAGCTTTAGAAACTCTTTGTGGCTGCCAATTTACATAGAAAATTTTTCTGAATTTTTCATTGAGAGATGGGCAAAGGCTGCATAGTCACCCAAAGGGAGAGGGTGTTAACCCTTAAACTTCCAAGATCTCATTAGTAATTCTCCTTATTGTTTGCCAGAAGATTCTCATTATGTTAGTTTGGAGAATTTGTTATCGGATTAATTAGCAATCCCATAATTGATATTTTTTCTTTATTCTCATCACTTGTCTGCATGATATTGTATAGATGTAGTAAAGAGAAATTCTGCCTTGATCACTCATGGAAGTTAAAGGGTTAAGGATGCCAAGTGATTCTACTGTATATATGTACTCCAAGGGTGGTAGGGTGAGGGTGTTCAAGATTCCAAATCATTTTCATGTATACCCCTATGGAGAAGCAAGACACTATAGGAGTGTTGTATTATGTGTCGATTAATTCGAAGTTTCAACATCCCCCCTGGGCAACCCCACAGGCATTTGAACTTTTGTAAATTGGTGCCCAAGGGGCATAATTCATGGTCAAATGCCTAACCCATTTTTTTCTTCGTAAAAGGCAAGATCAGCAGCAGTGACTCTCTACACATTGACCAAGCTTTAAAAGTTTGACCCTGTAGACCTCTTCCTCTGAGACATTCACTCACTAAAGAGAAAGATTTACCTTAAGCACCTACATAATTAAAGATATAACACTTGTATTCCACTGGAGAGACTTGACACTTCCATCTCAAATTTTCCACCCCAATGAATTCATAGTCAAGAAGAACCAAATGCAATGATTATCAGGTCAAACTGTGGCATTTCGATCTGTGCCCAGTTGCTCAGAAGGTGGATAATACAAAAAATGGATAAATTGCTATCCAGCTGACAAGTGTGAGAAAAACGTATTGCTCTTTTCACTAGATAGGGCTTTATTTGGTAGATAGCATTATCCAACCTTCAAACACCCAGGGCCTGATTAGTCAACCAAGCTAACCAGGCTACATTGAATAAGGGTGCCTTGTCTCCTACAGTAAGGCAGTGTAGCCCATGATTATAAGATTGAAACATGAAGGTAAAGCAACAGCACTAATCTTGATCTATTTCAATCATTTTAGTTTTGTTTTGCTTTTTGTTTAATTTTCAGTATTATCAGATCACCACAGCCCCACTTGGAACATATAACTACACACATATGAATGGCACTGAACCTCCAAAAGTACAACTATGTTACAGCTACTACAAAAATGGAGGAATTGAAAACAACAGATATGTTTTCAATCCCAACATAACAAATGGTGAGTCACTGATTCTGTACTGACAATCGTGTAAATTGAGAATTTCTTTGGGAGTTAAAGCACTGTCTTGCAGATCAATATGACCACTTCATCCGAAACTGAGAGGTGTATTTTTTTGTACGTACATGTAACACAATTGTTTGTATTGAGCATTACTATGTCAAAATACCTGCCTTTTCAAACTCTGCTGATTGAACTTGCAATTAGTTTGTTTGTTGTTTGGAATAATGGTTGCTTCAAAATTGTTGTGGTATTAGCCATAGCTACAAAGATGTAAATGCATTCACTAAACAACATTAACCCTTTAACTCCCATGAGCAACCAATATAGAATTTCTCCTTACAATATCAATACAATATCAATACAACGTCAAGCAGGTAGGTGATGAGAAAAGAGAAGAATATCAATCATGGGATTATTTGTTGATCCAATACCAAATTCTCTGAACTAAGATCACAAGAACTATGTGGCAGACAGTAAGGAGAATTACTAATGATATCTGGGGAGCAGATAGAAGTTAGTCATTTAGAACTAAATAGTATGGTATTATATGACCTCTGTTTGTTTGGAATAATTAATGGCCGCCTAAATTCTATTACGTCAATTAAATTTCAACTTACAGTCTTTATTTATTATGATGTCCTTTTCTTTGGTAGTGTGCTTTTATCTGGGACGTCCTATAAACCATGAGCACATTATTACAAACAAGTCCTTCAATCTGGGAAGGTAGGAAGCATTTTTATTACCAACATTTACTTTCAAACAGTAGCTGAGGGGCAAAGATTGTTATGTAGAGACTACTGATGCTATTAAATTAAAGCTAATAACATATGGATACAGCAAGGAATCAAATGAAATTGGGATCAGTTTGTAGAGGGGCTGAGAATATGAATCCCCACTCCCCCTGCCAATTTTCTTTTATAGATACATTAGATAAAAACAGATATAAGATAATTAATCAAAATATTTAAATTCCACAGCCTCCTAAGACTGCATTGCATGGAATTTGCCAAGAGTTAAAGTTATATATACATGTATGAAATAACAATTTTACATTCAATGTAAAATGACTGTACAGAAAAAAAATACTTCATGAAAGTTCTACCAACTGGACATTGATGGAATACATTTGCTCATATAATGATTAATGCACATTTTTGGCAACATTAAATGGAGCTGGTTTCTAAAATTGTTTCTGCTAATGTCCTTGGGTGGTAGCAGATGTTGGAGTTTATGTGTAATATTACACTGTGGATACAACTGAGTCAAAAAGAGTATAACACTGTTCTTGGCGCCTGTCTTTCAAAGATCTGATGTTATGCAATGCTAGATTGTGATGTAATGAAAGGCTACGAGAAATTGCAAAAAGCGCAGGCCTCTGAACATGCTCTAGGTCTTTCCTTAAGTGAGCAGGAAATGCATGGTGGAATAAGTGTGTGCAATACTCTAACACCAGCCTAATGTAGATAAGACAGAAGCAGATCATATAATTAGCTGGAACATTTTCTTGCTTTAGGAAGATCAAGAAAATTATGTGCTTATTAGCCTTTTTGATTACCTCAGAGTTCAATTCCATTGAAGGGTATTAGATATGGTTACCTCAAATATTTTGGCTTGGGCAGGTGGGCAGATGGGCAGACCCTTTATATCTACCTGTATCCCAGATAAAGCAACCCCTTAAAGATAATCAGGAGACAACAGTAAGGTTTGATTCCTCATATGGACATGTCCCTTGCTCATGAGAAGGCAAAAACATCTTTTTCTATTTCTTTAGCGAGCTTAAAACATACAGTCTTTCTAATTCTATTTACAAAACATGACAATATCAACATTGCTGATCCTAGCAGTATGCAAGACACATGTCATATTTGAACTTCATAATGAGCCTTGCTCAGCATAGAGTCTCTTTGGCTGACAGTGGTAGAGCATGGGAGCACAGAAACTGAAGGTCTGAGGTGTGTTCTTCATGGGGACTCAGAACTTTTTCTTTGTCCCAGTTGACAAGACAAAAAACATCTTTCTCAAAACAGTTATTGTAATTTTTAATTATAAGTATCAACTTCATGCAGGCCACTTAACAGCTTGTTGCTGTTCAAATAAGAACATCATATTGTTCAATTGAATTAGGTTACGTCACATCAGCTTGAAATTTTCCTTGAGGACAGTGAATTTGAAGAATGTCAAAGCCTGGGATAAGCCAGCCTGTTATCAACTGAGTGTAATGGTGAGTTGGAAACTGAATTTGAAGTAAAAGGGAAGGAATAATATGAAAAAAAAACAGAACCTAAAAAAAAAAAATTAACTTTACTTTGTTGTGCTTCCTATTTTGGACAGTGAATTAAGTGTGAACAAATCTTTTGAATTTCTCCAAGTCAGAGCAGTTATCTAATTTTAGTTTTGAATTCATCATTAGTTTTGCCAACTAGAGCCTTACTGCACTTGCAGACAAAACTAAAATTGTCCTGACAAATTCAAAGGAAAAATTTTGTCTTGACAAATTTCTGTTTTATTTGTAGCATCAGCATTAAAAATTTCAAAGCTGACAAATTCTGTCAGTGCCTGATCTGTACATTAAAGACCAGCCAGCATAGTTTGCCAAAAAATTTCAACTCCAATTTCTAGGATTCATCTTAAGTCATTTTAAAGTTTTAGAATCCCCGATATTTATAACACAAGACAATTATTGCCTTTCTAGTAAAATCATTTCAGTTTTAATTATTAAATGTTGGTTGTAGCTTTTATGAGAAATGATTGACGGTTCATCTCGGTTTTTTTAGTAATTCAATTTTATCCATTTTTTACCCACCACAAATTTTATCAACATGTATTGCATTATTTTGAAGATTTGCCAACATTTGTCAAGTCGCAACAAACCATCAGCACTTGTAATATGGTGGTGATGACGAAAAATTTTTCTAAATAAACAACTTTTTTGCCAGTGCAGGGAGGTCCCCTGTCTTTAAAATTGAGTTAGTAGTGTATTGCATCTAATTAAGTTCACTGACACGTGTTAGTTAATTTGCTCAGGTCTTTTACATCAAATGATTAAATTCAAAAGAAGCGTACAGTAGCATTAGATTACCAGAACTCCATGGACACCGTATCCCTGGCTAACCACTGTTTAACCCTTAACACCCTAAAATCAGTATGGATATTCTCCATAGCACTCTTTATAGATTCCTAAACATGCTGACAAGGAGAATTTGTTTAACAATCAAGAGTTTCTTTAGTTGGTTCCCTAATGTTTGATTCAGGGTGATATTGTAAGGAGAGATAAGGTGCATGTAGTAACCCTCGGGGTTTAAAGGGTTTTATAAAAAAAACATTGATCATCTGCAAATTAAAACAAAAAAGTCTTCAGTATTAGTGCAGCCATACCACTTTCACTATAAATTATACATTCTGCTGGAATTTTCTGAATATACTTGTATATTGGACAAAAAAACTGCATTACATAGCAATCATGAATTATGATTGATACCTGACTTAGTTTTGTGACTTCTAAAGACTGACTGACAGAAGGAATTGTTATTGTCATTTTTAGATTACATTTGATAATGTGAAGTATGATGGAAGAATGCCAGTTGACCTTGATATGAACAACACTTGGTTGCGGTGCCGCCATGGAAAAATAAAGGGCCAGAACCTCTTAAGTAAGTTTCACCTTAAAAAAAAACTTTAGTTGTCAAATGAAGTGACATGATTTTCTCATGCTGTTCTACTTATTGAAGGTAAGAAAGAAAAGGTGGGACAGGTTCATAAGATTGTCCTGTGGTAAAAAATAATGATATTACTTGTACATTAACATGTAATTGGAGGCAGATCCAGGATTTTTCTTAGTAAGGGGTAACTTGTAATGAATGATGAAGCTGACAGGTGAAGCAAACAAGTTATTTTTGCCACAATTGGCAGTTATGTTGCAATCTGATTGGCCAATTTGCTGTTGTTAATAAGGGTACAGACAACCCTGCTTGCATCAACATATCACAATCTTGGTCATGCACTGAGTTGTGGTAAAAAACAAATCCACAGTGGTTAGCATGGTCTGTACCTGCACTCTTTGTAATAATGATATTCCTCATCACAGTGGTCAAAATTTGTTGCACATTCACTTGGCCCCATCACATGAGTCCATAACATTTTGACTACTGTGATGACAAACATCCTTGTCAATAGGAGAACAGACCATGCTAAACCACTTTCGATTTGTTAAATTTATAAGTTTTCAATACTTTACTTTTTCAGGAACCCACTTCATCACTACTACATTGGTGATGTTTGATGTCATTGTTATCTCCTTCTGCGCTCTATCTCTTATGCTATGCACAAGATCAATTTACAAATCTCTTAAGTTGGCCAAGGTTATATATACACTTTACCACTATTTTACTGATCAAATCATATTGAGTCAATGGAACACACAGAGCATGTACATGTATAAGAAAGTGTATTTCTTTTTCAAGAGAGCAAGATCTGAAGAAAGATATTGTTAATTCTTGCATATAGATACATACTGTGGGTGACAAGGAGAGAACATATGGATATAGAGAGAGTGGGATAGAGACAGGAAGAAGGGAGGATGGTCAGATATTTTTACTGGTATGCAAGGTTGGTAGGGAGTGGAGAAGGTGATGAAAATGAAAGGAAAGTGAGGTAGTGAAATGGGAAGAAAAAGAGAGGAGGTTGGGAATGAGTGATGCAACAAAGGGTTGAGGTAGCAAACAGGGAGGATCATGGTAAATTGCAAAGAGTCAATAAAGGAAGGAGAGACAGGTAGGAAGGGGGAAATGAATGTAAGGAGATGAGATGGGGAGGACAGGAGGGAAGGTAACTGAGGAAGGGGGGCTGGGAAGAGGTGAAGAGGACTTGAAAATAGGAAAGAGAGAGTTGGATGGGCAATAGAGTTGAGTGAATAGAAGGGAAAGGAAATGGAGAGAGAGTGGTAAGGGTTGACAATTTAGCCAAGAATAGAGGAAGAGGACAACTGAGAGTTGAGGTTGGAACTGGGAGATTCAGAAGGGAACAGACACAGGGTTGCATAGAAGGAAAAAGGTGAAAAAGTGAAAGGTGAAAAGGATGAAGGGTTGTTGATAAATTAGACAGGTAGGCAAGGGGTGATGGAGAGTTGAGGGAGGAGAGGAGAGAGTAGGGAGAAGGATAGGAAAGACAGTGAGATGTGTTAGGGTTGGTAGACACTCTAAGGAGGAAGCTAAGGAGGATAAAATTTTTGAAAATTCAAAAAGTGTTAGAAAAGTCACACCAAGGAAAGTGAGCTATGGAGCTGTTTCACATTTTTTTATGCTATCAACACTACACTCTAAGCTAATTCCTCGTCAGGATTAGAAAATTGATCAATATTAAACCTTAGTGAGTGTGCATGTAATTGCCCACAACACTTTGCTTTTCCTCTGTTGCACATAAAAATTATCCATAACTTTGCATCCATCATCATTTTTAATGCTTTTCTATTTATTTATTTTTTATGACGGAAGGAGGCTGCCAGCTTTTTCAAGAGTGATCTTCATGAAGACTTCACCTTCTCCGATTACCAGGAGTTTGTCAGTCTATGGTTTATTGTTATCATGTCTAGCGATGTCCTCACAATTGTTGGCTCAGTATACAAAATGGTCATTGATCAAAAGGTGATCTCAGATCAAAATGCTATTTCTCCTTTTAGAGTTTCCCTTACTCACATCCAGAGAGTTGAGAAGAATAGAAACATGAATCACAACTGAATACTTCTCAAAGGCAGTAATTTACTGCAAAGCTATTTCTGATAGGAATCTTCTTGATTTCTTCAGCTAACCTGCAAGCAGGCCTCATTATTAGTGCTTCAGCTTGTACAATATGAGCCGGCAAGAGGTCTGCAAAGGGTCTGGGACTGATAATGAGTGGAGATTAGTACCAAACCCCAGACAATTCTCTTCCTGATTTGTCTCAAAACCTCTTGTTGGCAGAGAAATGTGCATCATGCAATGCTAATGTGCATCATGTGTTGTTATTGAATCTTAGCCTGCATGTTGGACACAAGCCAGAAAAAAAATGGATTGAACACATTAAGTCAAAATTTTTTCGGCACACCTTGCCACGTAAAGCATACATACATGTACTACATGTCAAATGGGTCATCAACTGAAAAGATAAGTTTGTTGGTTCAGAATATTTTCTGAGAATTTTGCCTATTCACCTGTCTTCTTAGTGCCTGACTTACTGTTGTATTTCTGGTCATACCCAGACTCATGGGACAGGGGCCAGTTTATGTCATTTTTAAACTTTGAGATAAGAAATTCTTGGAAGTGCTATTGAGAAAACTCAACTTATGTTTCCTTTTCAAGAGGTACACTTATTTTAAAATGGGAATGTTCTGACTGTCTTTCAGGATAGTGATTTCTATAATGTCAGCAGTATATTTCTGGGAACGGCAGTTCTTTTGGTCTGGATTGGTCTTCTTCGATTCCTTGGCTACTCAAAGAAATACAACGTAATGTGCTTAAATTTTTGAACTCCCTACGATAAAAATAATGATAGTTCAGGTTTTTGACTGCTGCAATGTCAAAATTGTTCTTTATGTTTTCTGTCACAATTTTAATTCTGAACTTCTACACACTTTTGGCCTAATGTCCTGATATGATGTTAATACTGATAAAAAAAAATAATCATAATAATAATGAGGATAGTGGCAATATGAAAATAAAGAACATTAAAAAAAGTGATAATGGAATTGGCAACAACCTTGGATTTTTTTAGCTCACTTGGTAGAGCACTGCACCTGTTTTGCAGAGTTCACAGGTTCAACTCCTGTACAGGCCTGAATTTTTCAAAGGCTTGATTTTTACTATTGCTAAAATAAGTAGTATTCATTACTGTGAAGATCACTCTTATCTTCACTTTTAATATACAGTTGAAATATATTGTATTCATGTATTCGCAGTCATTCTTGAGTATTTTGGCTCAGAATTGAGCGTTCTGTTTAATTAGTTGACAAAATAATGCCACATTTCTCTGCTCAGGATAATAATTTCTGGGGATATTTCTGCAGATTCTTTTAGAGACTCTGAAGGCGGCGACTCCAAGTATGGCCAGATTCTTCATATGTGTGATTCTGATATTTGCTGGTTTTATGTTTTGCGGCTGGATTGCCTTTGGTCCTTTCCATCCTAAGGTAAACTTTAAGGACGAATTTTAGCCATTTTATCTTGCATTCGTTCACTTGCCCTCTTATTTGACAAAGACCCTCACAGCCTATTATTTTTAACACTTGATGCAATTGTAGTATTATTTTGGTATTTGGTAATGCTTTGTTATGGTATAGTTAAGTTGACGTGATTCTTTGCGGTCCATTTTTTCTTTCTTTACTCTGTATTTCAGTATTAAATGGGACACAAGATTATTTTCAGTTCTTCGGCAAACAAACCTGAATTAAAACTATGACTCCTGATAGAAAAGTCTGAGTTAAAAATCTGGTCAGCCTGCAAGAAGGCATTCTTTATCAGCACTAGCCTTATACCTTCCATAATTAATTTTGGTTGAGCGAGTAGTCAGAAATCCATATTTCTTAACAAAAATTATGGCCGCCATCTTTGATTTTTAATAGCACCGAGGGGGCGGTCGACAGTCAAAAATAAGGAGAGGGTGGAGGTGGGGCGGAGGAAGATTTCTTTTTGCCCTTGCCCCACCCCCTACCCCACCGTCCATTCGAACTCCAAGTCAAACACGGCCCGTAGGATAAACGATCGCTAGCTTATGACGTTAGCTCGCACTTAAAAGACACCTGCAGTGCAGGCTATATCAGTGCTGCACGAGTTTTTCTTTGCCTGCAGAAAGTATAAGCCCTTGCGCGAACCAAGCTGGCGAGAGGTGTGAAAGAGTGTAGCACCTCTTCAACCGAACGTCAGTATGCGCATTCTCCATGCTGTTATTTATAAATTTCTTAAGGTGCTGAAACGGAGAATATGTGGAACAATCAAGAAGTTCTTTAGTGGGTGATCATTTCCTTTAATGTGTGATTCAAGAATGAAATTGTAAGGAGAAATTAGAAACTCCTGAGGTAAAGGGTTAAGGCTCCAAGGTTTAACTTTTCATGCCTTCATGTTTCATTCCAGTTTAAGTCGCTCGTCATAACTGCAGAGTGTTTATATTCAATGATCAATGGAGATGATCTTTATAATACTTATGCGGAGATATCAAGATCCACTAGCCCTTTCAGTGTGTGGATATTCAGCAAGATCTACATCTACACCTTCATCACGCTCTTCATTTATGTGGTGTTGAGTTTATTCATTGGTATCATTGGGGATACATATGAGAGACTAAAGGTATGTAGAATTCGAACTTTTGCTCTTCCTTCAAGCTGTTGAAATGTTACATCTGGCAAGATCAAACGTGTTGTATTTATTCTCTATCTTTGGTTTTCACAAAGTAGATTCGAGAATATTTTTAAGCAGAGACATTAAATGATCCTTTGGTGGACTACAATTCAAACAATCGCCAAAAAGAAGCCGAAAAAGGGGCTTCGACAGGATTCGAACCCAGGCCTCCCAGATACTAGTTGGACGTGACTACCAACTGAGTAAGAAATCCACACGTTAGGAGCGAGGCATATTTTAGAGGGTTATTATTTTCTGTAAAGGAATCTGATCACACTTTTTTTTAATGAAATAAATTTTATTTGACCTGCGGATGAACATTGAACCAAAGAAATGATCATCCCAGAAGGACTACAATTTAAGCAATCGCAGTAACGGATTGATTTCATTCAAAATTTGGAAACATTTTTGTTGCATGCGTCAGGATATGGGGCATCTGCCAGAAACGAAGATCCAAAAGTTTCTACATGAACCAGCAAACGTTGGCAGATCAGTTCATAGTGGCCAAGATTACACAACAGATACGACGCCTACAACAGAAGCCATGGCCGCTCCCCCGAAAAGGGAAGGAACGAGTCGTTATGGGTAAGAGCCGTTGTGCATTGCATTGGTTTGGTTTGCTTAGATAAATTAGCTTAGATAAATTTTCAATATACCAGTTTGTCAAATTATGTATTGATATCGTGTGGAAAAGTTATGTAAAGTCAACTTGCCAAAGTCTTCATTCACTCCATCACTTTATCTTTTGATTTCTCTTTAACAATCCAGGAGCACTTGTTCAACCAGTACAGTGGATGCTTTCATAAGGAATTTCTCCCTAGATTCAACGGGAGTTGAGTGAATAATTCAACTAGTCCTGCAACGAAATATCGTCAACTTAAAAACTTACTGCGTCGAGCGCAGAGCAAAAAGAGACTGTAGAACTGTGGAAGAGAAAATGTCTTCGCACTCTTACTATGTGAAAGTTGCTAAACTGGAACGTTGCAAATGGTTTCTCCGATAAATAAACAATTCCAAAGTTTAAATTTTGAAATTTCAGCCTAGAACGTTAAACCTCAGCATAATTCTCTGAGGAACTCCCTTTAGAGTTTTGTATCTAATCAGTGAATCCCTAAGCTTTTTAAACTTCAAGTAGCAAATTGATGGTTATTTTGAGAAGCTGCTGGGTTCAACTGGGTGACAATATTTTACATTTATTTAACAGATTTAATTAATTAGATTTTAAATCAGTAAATGTTATCAAGCTCGAAAAAGGGCCGAAACTCGTAAGCTTCTGGAGGAAGATTTATCTCAAAAGCAAGGGTAATTTTGATGTTAAATATTATCATTGAACAACTTATCGTGAATATTTTGTGCATATTTCTGCGCAACACACCTATGTAAAATATTAATTTCGTTTTTGTAATTTTATAGACAATAAAATTAACAAAAACTATAGTTAAGTGAAAGATGAAGCTTGTTACAACTTTTATTAAGAAATGAATAAAAGTATTTCAGAACTTGCATTGCGTAGTATGATAACTCTTTTTCCTTATTTAGCTAGGGCTGTAATGCATGTCTGATGTTCCCGTTTGTTTCGCGCAATTTGCTCAGTATGCGGCTAAATTTTTCCCTACCAAGTTCAATCCTCTTTTTCTCATAATAACAGATGGTTCGGAGAGGAAAAGATTTGCCGCCAGTTACTACTGTGACAATCTTTGTTCGTGGCCACACTAAGTGATACGAACTGTACAATACATTACAAACAAACAAATAGTCAAGACGGGCAACCTGTTTGAAGCACCTCGAAGTGCATGCCGGACTAGGCGAAAAAAAAAAGTGAAGTACACGTAATACTTGATGCTGTAATTGGTTTTGCGTCTGGTTGTTTCAGAAAATGGATTGAGATTTCTGGACCAATCCCAAAGTGTGGTGAAATTAAGCCATTGTAATCCCACACTTAGACACCCATTTGATTATTTCGTTCCTTATTTGTCTTTTTTTCTTTCTAGATTTCATAAATTGATAACACTGGACCTCTTCCAAGGGCGACTGGGCGAGTATTCAAGCCTTGCCCCTGTCCAATTGCAAATATCACGAAATTTCTCATTGTGTTACTGTTGTCGATTTTGTTCCTTAAGCCATAATAACATAAAAATGATAGCTTTTTTTACGTTTAAACAAACATGAGAGATGAAAAAATGGACGGACAATGAACAAGGAAGGTATTCGATTTATAGGCGAACAGGTCTTTGTGACAAACTTGAAAAATCTGGCTATCTTTCTATTCATCCCAGTCTCGTGTAAGTCCTTCAACAAAATTTAGCATTTATGTCTTCGTGATCTCCAGCGCCGTAGATGAATTGAATAAACAATTACCGTTTGTTTTCCGTATTGCGTGTATACCGTTAATTAAAAACCTGTCTGGAAAAGCGCCAACTGGTACGATTTAAATAAAACATAATCCGTTGTAGAGATTATCCAAAAATCATATCAAATGATTTGGCAGATTTCAATTTTGTCCGACGGTGTTTGCATTAACAGTTGGAAACATTATTGTAAACAACTAAATTTATCCGACTGATTTTGAGAGAGAGGGGATCCTTTTTTCTGTGTTAAACTGACCTAGCAACATCCAGTGACAGGGCCTTAAAAGTATTCAAATTGCAAGTTCTCTTGAACAAGAGAACTCGTCAAAAAATTTTTTTTTTAGCTAGTCATCAATACCTTGGTGTTGATGTAACCTTCCCGATCACCTTCACCTATAAACCTCCTTTTAGCCCACTAACGTGTAAGGCTAAGCAGATTTCCCTTAAATCCTTCAACTACAGTTTCCGATAAAGTATAACCTACTCCAAAAAGTTTTCTACCAGGAGTGGGAGAGAGCAATTATCCGAAGGGGTGGAGGGAAGAGGGTGGAGCCTCACCTTTCTGTTAATTCCATGAGATGTCAATATTCATAAGCTTAGACTTGTACATGCATGAATTTCTACAGTTATGAAGGCACGTCTTCCCCCAGCCCCCCTCCCCCTCCACCGCGCAGTCCATCTCACACGCATACAAGTCGGAGTATTGTTTATCGTAAGCTAGGGAGTGATTTCCTCCGTATGTTTCCGTGAGATGAGGTCAAGGCTATATGAGATTATCTACGGCTACTTAAAGTTCAATTTATGAAGGATTAGGATAATCATCCTCGGAAACAATAACAAATAACCAAAAACCTACGCAGAGAAACATAGAGGTTTCCTTTGCGATGAGTAATGGCAAAAGAAAACAGATTTGAACTCATCGCTTCATCGAGGGAAATTGATTCAGAGGTAGACACCAAACCTACAAATGTTTTGCTCACATAGAAGAGTTGCGTATCTTCATGGTAATATAATGACAAATAAGCGCTTTTCCTTCCATGTTCAAAACCTAATATGAACATTTTATAAGTCAAATTTGACAAGCTATGGCTCAGCCGAAACGTGTTCAGTCTCGTTCAATTTATTTGTTTGACGTCTGAAACCGAGAAAAAGTCCTAAAAAATTGGAGGGACGTCCATCCATACCTGGAGTCAAATAGGATGGGTTAACCATCGCAGAAATTGCGACATAAAACAAAACATCTCCGACTCGCCCGTCCCGCCCAACCAACTTGCTTTAATCTTCATACGGGGTTCGTTACTTGCGGAGAGCATTGCTTATGCAAATAGTAAACAAGTCAGAGATCCACACTGCAAGTTTTAAGATTGCGATTTTAATTCATTGCTCTATAAAATGACACCTCGATCAAAGACCCATTGCAAAACCCAAGTCAGCGAGCGAGCGTATGCGACGACTTCCAGGCAAGTTACGTGTAATTAAAATGATTGCAAACTACAAGAATGTTTGTTTTACGAAGGAAGACAAACATAGGTAGGAAATCCTACAAGACTCTCGAAAAAGACAGAAATCCTTCAAAATAGATCTCATCTTATGGAACAATATACTGTTCTACTATCGGAAACTTCTTATCTCTCGAGAACTGCAGAATCAATAAAAAGATAGCATTTCTCACCATTAATGATTTAACTCCTTCACTCCTTAAAATTGACACGACAAACTAAAAGATATTTATCTTTAAAAATGCAGATCAAAGGTAATTTCATAAGAAGAACACATTTCAAAAGAATTACATAAAAGTAGTGAATGGTTTTCGTTTCAAAGCCAACACAACTGATTTTGCAAGAGATTCCAAAACCTTAAACCATCGCCTTGTCAAGGAGAGAAGGAGTTAAAATTTGGACGAAAGCAAACACAAAAATCATTATAGAGAAAAATATTACTCTTAAAAGCCAGCTTTTTATAATAACCAATTTTATGCAAACAAAATATATCCTTTAGTACAAATGAATTAAACAAAACTGTATTTCGGCAAAATGGCGGCCAAAGAAGGCGGTATACAAGCGAAAAATTCAAAGTGATGACTTCATCCAAAGTGCAAAATGATCTGAACAACCATTTCAAAAGTATTTTGATTGCACACCAAATCAAAGGAAAAGGATTGGGGGCGTTTCTCCATCTTTAGAAAAATTCAACTTCAGTAACTTGTACTCAAGGAAAAATACCTAATAGCTTAGCCTAACTACGAAAAAGTTTGGCCCAAACTTTTGCCGCCATCTTGCGCGAGAAATTCACAGCAATTGCGTATAACGAAAAAATTGGTAGCATTGAAAGGCAATCAAAACCGGTAGTGCCATTAACGTTCGGAAATGCGTCATTTTATAGCTTTCGCGTTAATAGAAACACATAAGATCCTTCTAGGAATCAGACATTTGTAAAACCAAATGTGATTTGTCTTCCAAAAAGAAGACATTTAGATATAAATTAATAGAGCTTTGATCACTAAATGTGATTGATTTTTTCACGCGTGGCGTGTATTCGAGTTTTTGAGAGATCGCTCTGTAAAACCAAAGCCTCCCTAAATATATTTTTTTTTTCAATAGGATTTTTCCAAATAAATCAGTATCAAAATTACAAGCGAAGCTTCCTTCCCATAACGATGCGCTAGCGTAAAAATTACTCTCCTGAGGTTCGTTCACGCAACCTCTGAAATGGAGAGGGCTAAATTTTTAACAGATATGTGAATTAAATTTCGTATTTAAACAACGTACATAAAATAGGATGAACAAAGCTTTGAAAACGGCACTATAACCTGAATAAACATCTACCAAAAAAAAGCACGGCTGACCTTTCTATTACAAACCGAAAAGAAATAAATTAAAAGAAATTTGAAGTAAAGACACACTCTGATTCACTCATAGTTCAGCACCTGAGTAAATTAACGTAAAAAAACCTGAACATAACAAAAATCACATTTAACACATTTACTGAGAATGGTTTATCGAGCTCGCAAGTGTACGCACTTTAGCGGAGCTCTGCTCTTTCAGTTGTTCACATGGATGCAAGACTCGTTCTCTTGTACACGGCCCCTGGACTACTGGACGTCGACGGCTGTTCACCTTCGTCTTCAGATGTACTCAAAACCCTGAAAGAGGACAAAATGACTTTCAATTCCTTTACACACAAGCACATGCACGACCGGTTAAAAACATAAAACCGAAAACACAAAAACAACATGTATCGGAAAAAAGGATTCTTGTTGAGACAGATCTTTGTCACTTTACAGTAAGTCTCGCATAAGTGACAAATGATCTCATGTTAATAACATGTTGAGACGTAATTTGCGAGTAAGTTAAGGTAAACAGACTTTTCTGACTCACAATTTGACAACAAAGTAGTTGGAGCTAAATTTAACTATGTGGGATGTCAACAAGTCACCTGCTGGAACGCGTGTTCATGTTTTGAAATCATGATGAGCTGACTAAGGAACCACTTCACCTTACAGCAGAAGATACAATTAAAAGCTATTGTTTCCGATCTGAGGTCAACAGCCTACACAGGGAAGGGCTAAAGTACAGCTGAAAAACTGCCAGCAACTTGTCGCGATATACTCTTCCCCTATTGTACAGCGAAATTTAAAACTTCATTCGCGGTGGGACAATAGAGTTCTGCCCACAGAGGAAATCAAAAACTAAGCATTGCGAAATACTTTAGGGAAAGTCCCTTTTTGGAAAGAAAGAAACCGTGATTGAACACCAACGCATTTTAAAAGTAAAAGTACTTTTTCGCTGTAGTTGGTTTCCCGGGGAATCTTGGACGATCTAATTACAAACATTCTTTGTTCCACTTAAAAAGGTCTCATGAAGCCTAAAAATGGGTGTATGTTTTTTTTTTTAAAGTTTCCCAAAGACCTTGACAGACTGTCTGAAGAGACATAAACCAATTTTTCAAACGTTTCCCCTTTCTTTTACTTAATCCGGTCAAATTTACACATTGTAATGGTGAACGAGGCGAGGAATGGGAAAATCTCTCTCAATACTGCCACGACGACAACAACCAAACAATTTTTATTAAGAAATAAAAAGTTGTCTCACTAAGACCTAAAATAGCAGTTGCAAGACTTTCCCTTACAATAAAACCCCCCAAACCGGAGCTTTATGGGATTAGCAAGCTGCTGACGCAGCAAAAGTTTTGTCTGTTACCCTCTTGTGCTCGACAATTTGACTATTTGGCTCATAATTCACCAGCTTTTTGCGAACCTTTATCTTGCATGTCACTAACGAGCTTACAGAAGTTCAAAACTTGGCTCACTAATAATTTCTCTACAACTTAGCACACCATTCGACTGCGAAGTAGCGAGGACAGAATTTAGCCTAACCCTAACCCAAAGCAATTTCTCATTTTTGTTCCTCATTGTAAAAGTTGGTGACAAATACGAACCATCTTTTTTACTTCATTGCACCCAAATCACTCCTTATGTTCTGTTGCGCGTAATAAAAACAGCGAGAAGAAAAAACTGCTCTTGAAATGCTGTAAACACACTGATAGCACACGGTTCAAAATGTCGAAAGGATAAAGCGTACACATGGCCAAGGCTTCTAAAACCAAATAAAATTTATTGCTCAGAAATCGACTGATGAAGAAAAAAAGTTAAAACATGCTACAGAGAAGTCTATCAAAAGGAACAAGTTTATTTTCCGTCGCTTTACTGTACGTTCACTTTAAAAACTATCACAAATTTTCCTATAAACTTTACTCAACAACAGCCTGCCCTTTCAAGACCTTGGACAAAGAATTTGCTTCGCGACATACAATGAATTTTTAAGTTCTATTTGCTATTTCGTCGCAAGGAGGACCAATATCCGGTGATGAAAATGTGTATGATGAACATTACAAAGAATTCATAAAAGGATCTCCGATTACTTACATTGAGTGATCTGGGCTCTGAATATTCCAACTTTCAAACTTCTCTTCCAGCTTCTCCTTCATGTCCAGCAGAATCTCGTAGACATGATAATTTTTTGTCTGAAAAGAGAAATAAAAGCATTGAAGAGACCATTATGACAAGAGAAAGCAAAAACTTGACCACGAAGCACTACTATGCAAATTACACCAGTTCAGGTATGTTTGTCAAACTAGCCTTTAGGTTTTTCTTTGCATTTACTACTTATACAACGAGGATATGTGGAGATGGTAGTCAGGGCTGTGATTACTATGTAACTTCTCTCTATAATATCAATATATTATCCAACAAACAGCTATGAGAATACTCAAACTTATCAGATAAAAGTTACTATCTTGATCTTACGCCAAAATTTTCGCATCTAATTCACAACGAAATGTGTAGCAGCCACAGGGGAGAATTAACAATCAGATCTTGGGGGGTTAAATAAATTTACCAGAGATATCACTTCAAAAACAGCTGAGAACAAAGTGGATAGATCATACTTATTTTCATAATTTTGGTGGTGTCTACTAAAATTTTTGTGGCAACCACGACTGGCACATCTGGCTAAAGTGTCTAAACATTTGAGCTCATCATTTCAGCTATGGCTATATACTAAGGCATCTCAATTTTCAAGCAGGGATCTAAGACATCTACTATAAGATCAACATTTACTTCTTGCAAGGATAAAATGACTATTATTTGAGAGTTCCACTTACGGTAACTGTGAACTCTTCTTCCTGAGATCTTGAGCTTGTTCTCCTTCTCTTTGACATAGGACCCTTTGACCCTGAAGCAATTCAAAATTTTCTGGTAAACATGTATGCAAAAATTGGTATATGAACAACTTCTAAACAAGACACAAAATTCAAAACTCTGGTGAACCAAATTATAAAACAAACAGAATATCTCTTTCACATTTGATATTCTGAGTTCTACTCTTAAGTCTGAAAAGTGACGTGTTCCTTACATTCAAGAAACCAGACTGTGAAAAGCTAAAATCCTTTGCCTTGATCATTGGCTGGTGCTTGGTAAAAAAGAAAGTTCATTAAAACTCACCTTTTCTTGGGCGTTTGGCTCCTTGTGATGAACTAGGCTCACCGCATGCAATCCTTTCATCAGATTTTCTGTCCCTCCCTGGACAAGCACACACCCTAATTTCCACAACACGTCGGCCAAGAGTCTGTCCGTCCCTCTCGAGTGTGAAGATAACTTCAACTGGCCTTCTGCTTGGCCCTGATGCACAGCTCGAGAAGCACATAAATGCAAACATCTCGGTAACATACTCTGTACCAACTGAAACATAAAATGAGTGTGCTATCAGGTAAAGCTCAGATTTAGAGATCAAACTTATAGTATATGAAGTGAATATGTTATATTATCTGGATGATTTCATTGCCCTAACCAATGCTGCTTCCTTTCCAGGCTGTAATTCAAATTGTGACTACATGTGTAGTTCTTCATACTCTCTCTGTATCCATACAAACCTCAACATGCAGAGGCACTTTGAGGGAAAATGACTGCACCCAAACAGGATCACTGAGAGTAAACAATTTTGCATTTTAAAGGGAGAAGTTTTGTTCAAACTGGCATCCTTGCAACACAATTTTGCCCATAATTCAGGTAACAAATTAAGGGTAGCCTAGATATGTACAGATATGACTGCAGCAAGAAAAGTAGTCATAAACATAGCATACATGTATATATGCAAGCAATACAGTTATAGCAGTTTGCTAGACCTCCAAAATAACTCAGTCACCTCTCATGTCCCAACCTCACATTGTTTTGCAAAAAAAATTAACAGCAATAAATGAACTGTATGCTAGTATGATCTTCATCTTAACTAGTCTCACCTTGTGGGCCACTGTAAGGAATAATGACGGAGTGTCTTGATGAATCAGGACAAGTGTGGTAATGGGCGGCAGGATTGTTACTCCGCATGAAATGGGCATTTGGAGCAGAGCCTTTACATAGCAAGAAACCAAAACGATTTATTTCATTTGAAAATATTCATTTGCTTTGAAAATCACAAAGAACCAAGAGAAAGTAGATTGAAGAGGTTCAGTTTTGAAAGAAACTGTGATGCTGCATTGGTGGAGGGTATTTTGAGATAATTTGTTTTTATTGAATTAGTTTATAAAAAAAATTGGACATCGTCAAAAGATGAAGCAACCAATACCAGAGTATTTTGATATACCCAAATGACCATGGTATGACCCATCATACCAAGGAATGCAAAAATTAATTGTTATTGTTTCAATTGGTAACTGGAATATATTACCAAAAGGAAATCATACATTTGTCCTAACTTTGTTATCAACAATTACTTGTACATACGTGAACTGTGTTAGTTGTTAAAACAGAAGTAAGTTAGTCCTTAAACAGGTTCAAGCTAGAGAATAACAGATGAGTCTTAAGCTACATTTAATAAAGGAGATTTTTACCATCATTGGAATTCTCCATGTGATTGGGGCACCTCTTCACAACATCATGCAAATTAGTGGAGCCCTTGAATACCGCAACAGCTCGCAAGTATGTCCCAGGTAGTGGGGGACAAGATGTCTTAAACTTAATTGGACAGTAACTGTTTAGATTAACATAAAGCTTTTTGCAGACATCCGAGTAAGTCCATGTGGCAGACTTGGAGGCTGACTCAGTCAGAGGGCCAAAAGATAACTGGAAATTCAATTCTCCTGGGTATTCTGTGGTGCTGGGAATCTGCGGTAAGCGGGAAGGGTGCATGAAGGTGTGCACCATGTTGGGAGATGACGTTGCTGGAGTACCAGGAGTGGAGACATCACTGTATGTGCTAGACTGTAGAGTAAAGTATCTCTGTTAACATCCTGCATTTGTAGCAATCATTTGATAAACCCTTCACCCCCTAATATTAGTATCCAAATTCTCCATACTCTTCTCTATACATTTCCTTTGGTACTGACAAGGAGAATTTGTTTAACAATCAAAGCTTCTTAGATTGGCAATCATTTCCTTTGTTCTCAAGATCTTCATGAATGATGCAGCAGTATTACTGTGGGAAGAAATCTGATGCTTGTCACTTTGAGGGATCAAAGGTTTCACAGATAAGGGAGAGTCAAGCAGTTAAAGTCAATTTTAGTCCTAAGTAAAATTACATGCGTACATCTACCACAATAATGTGGAAATTTAAGACTTAAATACTTAGGAAAAAAAGCAATATCCCTGAATGACTGTTTACAAGAAAGTTTAAAGATCTAAGAGCTTACAAATGTAAATGTAACAATTTTGCAAACAAGTACATGCTGTGCTTATGATGCAATCTTGTGGGTTGTTCCCTTTGGAACTTCTCAGAACTGTTGCTCAAAAATAAATGAGATAAAAAATAGTCACAGTGACTGTTAAAGCACTTCAAACCAAGAATCCACTTACAGTCTCGTAATGTGCAGTATTAATTGGAGATATAGAAGAAGAGTTCCTGTGCACTGACACAAGGCCAGGAGATTGTGGAATATTGTGTGGATAAGCTGGGGGATTGGGGCTGGTAGATGTCGGCAAATCCACTGGTGCCTGAGAACTTGGTATGTACTGTGGTGTAAATACAAAATTCAAACACAACACTTAAGTCATGAAACTTTACTTCCAGTTGAGTGCATGAATTAGTGAATGCTGACTTCCAACACTGTGTCCAACAGTGCCTGAAAACTACTAAAAATATAAAGATGGAGGTGGGATGCTGTGACATGTTGTGATGCTGTTCCCTTCTTGTAAAGGAGAAAGGGCTTTTCAAAAGTTTTACAATATGGAGTTATTTCTCAATCCCTTAAATAGATAAGTGTCCCATTTCCTAATCACAGCTATGGCAAGAAACAATAGAAATGAATTTAACTGTACAGCACACATTGTTATAGTTTAAATCTCTTCTCTGAGAAAAAAAAAATAGAGAAAAAGTTGTAACCTTGTGGACTCAAACTGAATTAATGTAATATCACAGACTTAATGTGGATTCACCTCAACTGCCCAAAATCACAGTGTTAATTTGATATCATTTCCTTTGTTATGGCAAATACTATCAGTTCCACTTTTGCTTGACACAGTAAGCCACAATATCAAGATTCAAATTATGATATACATGTACAATTACAGCAACATTCTCCTCAAAACAATGGAAAGTTCACTTGGGCCAAACACAAACAAAAAGAAGAAAAATCAGAGAAATCCTACATGTATCCTAGTACCAACCCACGCAAGATTAACACAACACTTGTGTGGAAAGAATACAGCTACAAAATGACGGAATAATTCCTCAGCTTACCGGGAATGGCTGGCCGTATGACCTCATATCACTCGGCAAAAAATTGTCTTGAGAATCTAAATTAAAAAAAATTAAAAAAAAGTAAACATTTTAGCAAAAAGACTGATATTTCTTTTAATTCCGTGAGGATGACCTACAGTTGTTGGCTTCACCACAATTCTGAATTTTCATCAATGCAGCTCTAAATTTGATCCCAAGATAAAGAGTTGGATTTTATATTATGCAATATCTTACAGCTGGGAATGCAATATTTCACAAAATCTTTGTTTTCAGCTCAATTTTTCCTTTCCTAAGACTTGAAGGAAATTACTTGCAAACTATACACTACATGTAAAGATTAGCATCCAGAAACATCCGCAAAGGGGTCAAAGGTGCATGGCATTGTTTTCTTGTATATGCGCCATGTTATCTCAGATTACTGAATTATCCAATATCCTAAAAACAAAAATATAACTACTCCGGATATCCACTTACAGATTAGTCACTCACACAGCACACATTTGTTCAAATTCCCTTTACATCAGAACAAAACATAAAAACGTATTTCTCCACTTGATACAAAATCAAAGCTGCTTTGTACTCAGAAAATGTGGCAATTTACTACTGACATTACTAGAGATAATATTTTCATTTTGGTTTTATGCCAACTTTCAAAACAGATCCCTATATAGCTGATTGCAACATACTCAAACAAAGAAAACAAACAAGTCTTCAAATTTTGTATTTCTTACCTTCTCCTGTTTCCAGTGGAGACAGAAAACTGAAAACGAAAGTAAGAAAAGGTTAGTTGTGTTACACAACAACAACAAATGCCACTTTTACTCTAAGGACAATATAGATTCTAATGTGGCTCACTCTTAAATATTCATCCTTGTTAAAATTCATGTGTTTGAAAATCTGTTGTTAACCTTCAATCAGAAGTTCACCTGAAGACAAATTTACTAAGGACTATTGTTCAACAAAGGTGGCTAATAAACATGACTCAATGCTGTATTTGAGACTACTTTGTTGAAATGACTCGCGACTGCAGTTTCTTTGTTTACAGATTAAAAGTACATTACCGTATAGGAAATTGTAAATCAAACCTATAACTAACCAGAAATTTATCAACTACCACATTTAAATGATGTCGTGGAATACTGCAGGTATTAAGAAGCTTTGGATTGGGAAACCCTTCATGAAACTGGACCATGTTTTTAAATTAAGCTAGCTCACGAAAAACAAAGCACAAGCAAAGCTGTGAAAATGTACCAGAAATTTTCTATGGCTGCTATTAAGCTGCATAACATGATCAACTCTGCTACCTGTGGCATAAATCTTTGTCCCAGTGCATCATTTTTGGAAAGCCTGAATCCAGAGTACATGACATCTTTGCTTTGTATTACTACTGAACTGATCCAAAGTTTCAAATTCACTTTAACTAGTGAAACTGAATAATTCTCTAAGCTGACTAAGCTAAAGAGGTGCCGGCTTGCCATTATATTTGTGTCAGCGGAACTCATCACCTCTGCCAACTATTGTTATTGTGCCAAATTTAACTGAGAAATACAAAAGCCATTGTTTCTGCAACCACTGACATTATAGAAAAACAATAAGACACAATAGAAACCTGATATCTACCACTGTTGACCTAGGCAAGTTCGACTTCTAACAACAAAGAAGTTAATCTGATGAATGTTGGAAGGCTTCAACACTATCTGACACTTTTCTTATCTCTTATGTAATACTACTGCTAAGTTAAACTCATCAGACAACAAAAGAAATTTAATCCACTTAGCAACAGGTGATCTTCAGGATTTTGGCAAGAAAACAAACTTTAAATTCTGTTCTAGCAGTAAACACCTTATTTAAGACTTTCTTGACTTAACTCTTTCATAACATGTCTTTCATGAGAGCATGTTTGAATAAATAACAACTCAATTGGCAACACACTTTTTTTTTTAATACCTGACAATAGACAGCTATAAGGTAAGATAAGGACAAAAAAAATTGTCATTAACCTTGGGCTATTTAATGAACTTCCTGACTTTCTAGAGGAAAACAACAACTTCCTGCATTTGACCACAGTTTTTTTGTACTGACAAAAAATTACACAACAAAGGAAAAAAAACAACTTCAATTTGTTTACCCTCAAAACAATTAAAGAGAATGAAGAAATTCAGTCAAACAAAGATTGTAAAGTCCTTCAAGTTACACCAACATATAATTTGTCACCCATTTGGTTGATAACTAGTAAAGATCTTTGATGCTTTCAATAAATGCCTTAAAACAAGTCATACATGTACAACATAATTCTTTAATAAATGATACTCTGCCACTAGATGTAGGAGTTTGCACAAGTAGTACTTAAGAACATCACTAAAAAAAGTTGCTGATGTTGCATTTCGCTTGTGGTTTTGGGCAAGTCCACACTGGTTTGACAAGTATTGTTTGATCGCAAAGTAAGTTTGTCAAAGTCATCACTAAATAAAGCCTTGTAAAACTGACAAGTTCCTTTCTCACAGCATAAGTGGCACATCAGTCAATCAACTGGATAACTAACGAGCTTGCACAACAATACTAACAACTGCACTTGCCGCTTTTTATAGCAGCAGAATTGGAAGTCAGGTTGAAGAGAGGGCTGGAATTATACCATAGCAAAACTGACTTTCACACTTGATATACCTTTACTCCCAGAAGTGATTAACAAGTAACTTCTCCCAATAATATCCATATATTATCCATAAAACAGGTGATGAGAATTCTTATACTTAATATTTTGATCTAAAACCAAATTCTTGTACCTAACTTACAAAGAAATATGTAGCAGCTAGAGAGAAATATTCACAATCAGATCTTGGGAGTCTGAGGGCTGAATTGAAATAAGAAGAGTCACACAGGATTGGCTATTAACTAACCCCAACCTCCTCTCAGAGGTGATGAAAAAGTAACTTCGCCTAAAAGTTTTTAATTTGAGTAGAGAAAAGTCCATCAGTAATAAAATTATATCTCAATATTAAACAGTGTAACACCATATTTCCTAAACTAATTTGCTAGGAAATCCATTCCACCAAAAGAGAGAATCATTGATCAGATATGAAAAGTGTAAGGGTCAAAATGGTATGATGCACTGCCAAGTTGAACTTTGCAACCAAATTAGGAACACCTTTGTGACCACAGGTGTGGGACGAGAAAAAAACTGTAATAAAAGTATATTGCAAAATATCATTTTGTAAATTAATATTAAGTTTTCAACAGATTAAACACTTTCCTCCTTGTTTCATAATGAAAATCAAAGTATAACCAAAATAGGTAATTTGGGCTGTCACAAAGTCGAGTGTTATTTCTGATGGTGATATCATGTTGTTTTGCAACCACAAGGGCTAATGTCCAAAAGATGATTTCAATAAAATGTCAAATGCTGTTCAATTTAGAGAAAGAAAAAGAGGGCATTTAAACACAATTCTTACATTATGGCAACTTTGTTTGGCTGCAAAACTTAACAAGGGTGGGTTAGGGAATTTTCAAAGACCCTTACCAGAAAAATTAAATCCCCATGAACTCAATGCAGTTTTCCTGAAAATCTATGACAGTAGTTTTCAACAGTAAACACAAAGTGAGTGATGCAGTGCAATAGTGTTTTGTGACTGTTTATCATGTAGAATCTTTCCTCCAAACACATTTACCTTGTGACTAAGTTAACATACCACTTCATTATAATTTGAACATTAAGTTGGATGTGTTTCTAAAAGATGGAACAAATAATAATTCAAAGCATTTGCTACACAGTTGCTCTTCCTAGAGGTAATGAATCTAACCTGGGTTTTTCAGATTTGATCCTACGGTCCATCTTATTATTTACAGCAAGGAAGTCCCAATCGTTTTAATACTTTAAGTTCACCTTTCTGATGAAATAATTCGCTTGTGGATTTTAACTTGACGTGATCTATAGCACTCACAAGATGCATTCATAAGTTTGACCCGCGTGTGATATTCACGTGACAGAATACAGACAAAATCCAAAGAAAGCGTGACTTTCATTCGCACACGATACTCTACGGTGTCAACTTTGACAAGTTCATTAGCCAATATCTATAACAATCTTGTCGACATTGCATTCGTCGATTTAGAAAAAAAAAAAGGGGGTAAAACGATCCGCTGAGTGAAAATATAAGTAGGGCATCAGCCCTGTGTATGTTTTGCGTCAAGAAGACAGTTGCAAAGCATTATTGCAATGATATTGCATCAGGAAACGAAACGAAAACAACAGGGCGCGACTCCAAGTCAAGCCTGAGCAATAGATCCTGATCGGGACCAAAAATAGTAAACATCTAATACACTGATTGACTACGCAAATCCACTTCTAAGTATCTGTAAGTTGAAGAGATATTTCTCAATTGATGAGATACGACGAAAGAAAATAATAATAATGATAATAAAAATGCAGATACGCTTCAGTATGTGAATCGTTGATCGAAGTGAAGCGATAGACATGTGATAGTATACGTAATTCCCAAAAGTACATGGCTTCGCTTTGGCTCAAGTCACTCGATGAAGAGCTACGCAAAATTAACGTACTTACCATGAAGGATTCTCGTCCCCCCGAACATCATCGAGAAGGTGTTTATAATGTTTATCATGCAGAAGAGTGTTAATCGTCGGTTCAACATTATCCACCATTTTGTTTGGCACAGTGGAACGTGATGCAAGATCTCCACCAAGGCCTCTTTTCACGTAACCAAAATTAATCCCCGCTCTGAACAGAAATTTAAAAAAATGAAGAATATCGTCATATAGTCTCATATTCTCTTACGACGCTAGATGTTCATACACTTAAATCATGACGTTTACGTACTGTAATGAACATGAACTCGCGAAGGAACGACTCATCCCTTAACAAGCGACAGAAATCGATCGACGAAAAAAGAAATATCTAACCGAAGAACAACGATTAACTATTCAAAAATCGAAAACTGGAGAAACGCTTTGTAAGACCTGGATTATAGAAACGTGCCGTTCTAAATCAATTCATCAGTTATTCCTATCGGTTCAGATTTCCTGTTTGGCAAAGCACCAATGGTTCCGATAAGTCAAACGACCGGTGTAGACATTTATTGATATTGTGTGCCACAACATGGATGAAAATCGACTTGGAGTAACTGCCATGGAAACACGAATCAGTATTCACCGATTAAAACGCTTGCAACTTGTGTAGTGATAACGAAAGTGTTGTAGGCTCAACAAGTAGAGCTTCCGATTAACGCAACATGACCCTGAGCACTCTTTCATTGAATAAAACCAAAACAATTCCTGATTGCGTCTCTTTCCGTTACTTGACGTGCGTTCTAGTCAAAACTACACTTTCACTCGACTGATTTTCTATTTCCTGCAAGAGTCCTTCAGTTTGGATCGAACGTTGTAAAGAGGAAGTACGCCGTTAAAAGCTTCAAGGGAAGCGTGGAAGGACAAAGAGATTTACATCGCAGCGGCGCCACGGGATTGTTTACCTAGGTTAAAAGCTCAATAACTTCTAACAGCACTCCGACATGACGCCATTTAGTTACGATATCGACTTCAGCAAAATTATGGAGGGGAAACAAATCTGACTGTTATTTCAGCTGTGCATTTAAAACATAAAAGTCGTACCTTTTCTAATCCACTAAATCCCCGATCTCAAAGCTAGACGGACACGCGGTAACTATGACGTCGTATAACATTTTGATGACATTGCATGAAATCGGAGCAGTCCGTTTCTGACCAATCAGTGGACACAAATTGTTTACTCGATGATTTCTTCGCCAATCAGATCATTCTATTCTCATAAAATAATACGTAGAGGTCGGGGATTCCCTTTCTATTTTTAATTCCGCTATATAAATGCAAGTGCAATCCTTGGAAGTTATAGGGTAATAAGCTTTTGCCCATAAAGTGAGGCTTTTTGAGAGGGAATGTCGGTTTTACTGTTGTCGTAAATCGTGAATCTCTCTTAGTCCTTTCCACTGAATACAGCCTTTGGGATAGGGCTGGAAAGCCGGGAAGGGGGAGGGGGGAAGGGGACGGTTGACGAACGACGAAAATATGTTGTACGAGAAAAATATTGCATTGCCTAAGATAAAAGTACTTTCAAAACAGTTTGCGTGAATTCTAGATTTTCAACAATATTCCAGTCAAAACAATTATTGATGATAAGACGAGTCTGAGCTGTGAACTGTGATATAATTGTTGAGTCGAAGTTGAAATTGTATTATTCAACCACAACCATGGCACGCGAGTTACTCGATGACCTCTTTAGATAGATCTCATAAAACATGTCATCGAATGGCAAATTATTGACCGGAGGCGTGTTCAATATTGTAAACCACTTGGCAAAGAAGGTTAGAAATGTGATATGCCGGCAAACTTTCTTTTATTCTTTTAATTATCTTTGCTATTGGTCATAGTCGAAAGCCACGACAGTAATTAAGGTAAAGCACGCGCAGTGCATTCAAATATCATTCGTTCTGGAACCAATTTGAAGAAACCTTATAATAAGTTGTGATCAGAAGACGAAACATACAAGATATCGTTAAATTAAAACTCTGTAATTCACTGAATAAGAATAATCAAGCTTTTGTTGGATTTCACGTAGTACCAAATTTCAGGCTTTTGCCTCGACACAAAGTGGGCCGCCAAACATCACATAAAACTGAAATTCGAACAATACATGCTACAAAGACATTTAAAATCACCTTTTCGAAAATAACTTAACTCGATGTGATTTGAAAAAGTACAATTAAAATTGTATATAGGAATTTCTTCTTCCACCATTTTCCTAAAGGTTTGAGTTAGGATGCTGTGCGCACAATGGATAAATTTCCCGCAACTTCGAAATAAGATTGTTTTTAAAGACCAAGCATACTACTTTTGACCGAATATGGAAGCATTTAATTTAGTAGAAATGAAATCAAGAAGTCTGAGATACCGATAAAATTATCTAGATTAAATCTCGAAGCAAACATTCTCTTGGTTTGAATACAACATCCAATGTATTTTTTTGTTTACAGATCCATGAAATCAGTTCCAGATATGAAGTCGTGCAAAGCGATATTGATTACGTCTAAATATGTCCTGTTGAAGAGCGCCATACTCAAGAGTGTATCACGTAATTAATTATATTGCCTTGCTATGCCAGAAAACGGCTAGTTTTTGATGTCATCCTCAAGTTACATCATAACCCTTATGTCAGAGTATTGAAAACGAAATGCCATTAATTAGACGCCTCCACACCCCTCTAGCTATCAATTTGACAGGGTGATTGGCTACACGTGAAGAGGATGTAAAACGTGAATTTTATGGCGCCGCGCAAAACTGCTTTTAATTACCAAGATCGAATGAGAAATTCTCCTTTCTAACTGCCATACAGTTTTTTGTAAATTTGACAAAAGAATTTGGTGCGATACCCAGACCTGTCTGTTCTCACGATGATATCCAAAGTCTTAGAGACAAAAAGAAAGCTACTGCTTTTTCACTTCATTGTGGGAATTTAACTGAGGGTAATTTATCTACAGCTGGTGTCGAAGAACGCGCCGTTAATTTCAAGTATTGCAATAGTAACAAAAGTTCATCTGCCTCGCTACCAACGAGTGGATTCTTAGCAAAGTTGCTAGTAGCCATCAACTATCTAAGGGACATGGTTCGAATCTCGCCCAGGCTTCTTTACTGCATTTGCTACCATTGAAACTTGCGTGAGAGGATCATCATAGCTTAACTTGGGCATATATACATATAAATAACTAAGTTGCTACCAAACTAAAAACGTTTTATGAAGTATATAATGGCGAAAGTCTCAGAGACAAAAAGAAAGCTCTGCTATTTCAGTTAATTGTGAGAATTTAGCTGACGGTAATTAATCCACAGGTAATGACATGATTTCGAGCGCAACTTGGTGTTAATAAGCACGAATAAATTTTTATTTGTCCCATGCTCGTGACAAGACGATAAACATCTTTCTTTATTTCTTTACCGAGCTCAAAACTTACCATCTCTCTTATTCCATCTACAAACATGACGCTATCGACATTGCTGATCCCAGCAGTATGCAGGACGCGCGTAATATGAACTTCGTAATGGGCCGCCTCCACCGTGGAGTCTTTGTGGCTCAATGGTAGGGCATCGGAGCGCGGAATCAGAGGGTTTGAGGCTCGATTCCTCATGAGGACTCAGAATTTTTGCTTTGCTCACGCTCGTGACAAGACCAAAACATCTTTCTCTAGAATTTGTAGTCTTTGACAAATTTACTAGTGCTTATTACACCAAATTGCAGGAGAAATCATGTTATTACTTTGTAGTTTGCACTCATGTTACAACTTTGCACGCGGTTACGTGAGAATGCACTCGTTTTCAGCCAATCAGAAGCGCGTAATTTTTCATGTGCATTATTACTCCAGTCAGCGTTGAAAATCTCGCCTTCATTCTCAAATATTGACGATTTTCCTGATGTCATGTGCATGAGAAAAAGAAGATCCGCAAAATTACACAAATTGGCGATTATTGGTAATAAATATTAGCGAAAGTTTTGATACTTAATAGAAATTGTCCTTTCCCAATCAAAAAAGATAACTGGCAATTGACTTTTAGAACTTATTTTTACGGAAGCATTCTGCGTGGAGATAAGTAAAAATTTACATATACATCGTACAAACTGCACTGGACGCCAAAAATAATTCTGCCTTTTCAGACATACTTCTCACTGAAGCTTCTGTTATTCTTATAGCGACGAGCGTCAGGAAAATTTTCAGTCAAGTATCGAGAGAACGATGACATTGTAATGTCTTTGCATTACTTCACTGTGTGATTTTTATAGAAAACTTGAGTTGGTATCTTAACCAATAAAATACAAAACTAGAACAAAATGCAATTTGGCGACCGTTGTCACGTTTTCCCTCGCTTGAGGCAGTTCTATTCGATTTCTTATTGGCTCCTTATAATATTTTATTTTGTTGTGATTGGCTGTTGTGATCATTTTCATTTCAGTCTTGCTCTACTAAGGAAAATGTGCCCTATTTTGTTAAAACTGCTTCACCCCATGAATGATCTGTGAAAAATGTCGATAGATTGTGAAGAAAGGGAATTATGTCTACCAGATAGCCCATATAATTCAAGGGATTTATCAGAAAAGCCACGACGTATGCGAATCGATCCCTGTGCTCTAATGCGATGTAAATGTTGGTCTCTATAACATAGAAACGATTTTTTTTACTAGAAATTGAGCCATTCGCATACTGAATCCGCACAATACTTCATCCGAGACCAGGGTAACGCGAATGCAGGTGAGGGTATCGGTTGATAAATTAGTTTTAAGCTTTTGCACAGTTGTCTGCGCAAACAATCACTGAAACATGGCAAGCGATGAAGAGATTCTCTGAAGCTGATATAAAATTTCTTTCAGAGGAACAGAAGCGAAAACCACAAAAACCTTAAAATTGTTCAAGGCTCCTTTCATAAGTAGGAAGAAGGTGAAAAACCAAATTAAACTAAATTTCACCATTAGGGCTTGTGTAAGAATTTGCAAAACACTTTCTGCTTTCCCCTTTTTTGGTTTAAATGATAAGAAAAAAAAAGGAAGAAGTAATTTTTTTTCTCCGTTCTAGAGAAGACAGCATTTTTCTCACTTGCTGCCTCTGATGGTGAAATATAGCTTTTAATGACTCAAAAATGATATCCGTGACTTCGCACCGCTGTTTCATCCTCTTTTTAACAACTAGAAAATGTCCATTG